TTGTATTCCTATTACCACACGATAAATCAAACAGGCGTGATGTCGTAAACTGCTGCTTATTCTAAATATACTTATAGCGAGAGCGTCTTATTTCACTACTACGTGAACTTTTACCCCACTGATATGTGTAGAGCATGCGGGCACAAAGGATCGTACAGCCACATTCTCTTGTAAAGTGCTGGTAACAAGGGTCTAAAAAAGCACCCGCGTTCACGATGGGACAATTCGGCCAACAATACCAAATCACACGAAGGGTCGAGCTGACAAGTTCCTGTCACCGGCTCGGCTGCGAGAACGCTGTGAGAACACAACGTGATAAAACCGCGGTCCTTGTAATTACGTATCTGTACATATTCTAAATAAGCGCACTACTTACTTACGTAGTGAAGCTGCATCTCAGACTTGTGTAATAGTTTCTTTTGGATTGACAATGTTAAAACGTTTCAACCCAGCGACCATATCAAGGTGAGTGGGCGATGAGCACTGGCTTAAACTTTCGCCAGATGACTGAATTCTATTCTGTACTCACAGACCGATAGATAGATAGACAAAAAATTTTCTTGTTGAAGTACCCCCAAAAGACCATTGCCTTTAATATGTGTCCACGAGATGACGTTTGTGGGAAGTTTAATCTGATTCAGGAGATGCCTTTGGGTATCTATGTGTTCGGACAAGCGGAATTTGAACTCACTCGAGTTGCGATAGTTCTCAACGTTACGTTTTGGAGCAATAAAGCTTGTTCAGTGGAGCGGGAAAATGCAGGTTTCGTTCACGTCATACGAGGGAATAACGCGAAGCTGGTCTCTCGGATCATGGCCGCTTCATGAAAACGCACGGCATACGTTTCATGAAGCGGTCCTACAGTTGGAATGATGACGATGATGATTATGATACTTGTTATTCTAGCCCACACCCACGAAGGAGCTGGCATTAATGTCTCTTACTTTACGAGGGTTACTTCCTCCTCCTCTTCCTCTTTGCCCTGAAGTAGGTCGCTTGCAAGAATCTCTTCTTGGGCACGCTGAAAGCACTGACGTGTCGATGACTTCGGCAAATTCACCATGTGTTTAAATCTATCCAACCTCTGATGACAATCACGAGAGAGGTCGAGTACCCTGATCCATTTATTTAAACTTTAAACTCGACGAAAGTACCGGTCTTACCCCAGTCATTCAGAACTAAAACGGGCAGTTTGCAACGCCCACCGAGTGACCGCACATTGAGATAAATGAAGATGACGCTACCAGTCCTGAAGAAACGGTGCTGTCTTGTTTTCTTATTTTCTAGACGTGCCGTAAGTAAGGTTCAAGTATGCGCCTGTTACACCCACAGCATTGCGGACACACGGCTTCCTAGTTCGCTGTCAAAGCGCAGCGTAGCCGATGTATAGTGCCACATTCCCGTTCAATACCACCACCAGCTTTGCTTCTAGCCTCACTTTTATGGGCGCAACATTTCAACATCCCATACCTCGCGGCAGAAACATACCCTAGTTTTTTTATATATATATAAGGGTATGCCGGACGCTGCCCGGACGTCGCCTCGCTACACGCCCGAATCGAAGAGCGGGACGACGGTGAAGCCTGTTTTCCAAATCACCTGCACGATTTGACATAAATCCGCCAGATGGATCAACCTGGCATACGAGATACATGGCCGTCGGTAGCGCATTGCTATAGCCGCCTCCCATCCTAGACGAACACGCCTGTTGTGTCGTCTTTGTTCTTGTGCTTCGTAAGGGGTTCCGAGCTCCTTTACAATATCAGCCTCCACGAGCTGCGCTTCGCACTCCTGTCGAAAGAGCAGTTTTCCGGCAAAAAGACTTCTCCCGCTAAATTATTCCCACATACGATTCAATAGTTCTCATATGTACTTATAAGTTATATGAGTTATAAGTTCTCATATGAACTCATAATGGGTCACATGTCTTGTGATGTTCAGGCGCTCACAATTTTTTCTTTGTGAAAAGAGTTGATGTTGTTTTTCCGTAAATTATCGAACCCTTATAAAGGACACTGAACTATTCGTATAAACACAAAATTTTTGAATTCTGAGGACGTGTACAGCACCTACGCGCATGTATTTCCATCGGGTGCATTTGGATGCCTGCACAAATATTGTACGATGGCACCGGGCAGTCAGCTACCACAAAACACATCTGTCCTTCTGGCCCGTTGGCACTGGGGCCCCTGTTCTGCACTCGAATGTAGCTTCAAAATCTTCCATGTTTCTGAGAGCAATGTTCACTCTGCAAAACGACACAATACAACGTGGTAATATTACCTTCAAATCAGTTTTAAAGTTTCGCACAGTAGCAGTTGATGGAGCGAAACATATAATGACAATATATCTGTTCGGCGACGCATTGTACAGGATTCTTTTCCTTGGATTCCTTCGGTGCAGCCTACCTGCGTTAACCAACGCAAGTAAAACAAGCATACAAATGCTTCAAAGTGTTCAGGCTCAAGCACTCCGGATTTGTTTAGGCTTGCCCCAAAGTGCATCAACAGCGGCAACTATCACCATCACAAGGGACCAGCCACCTCATAAAGACCCACATTAATGTTGAAGTGCTGAGGACACATATACGACACCTTGCTCGAACACCTCGACATCACCTAGCCTCTCTACCAGTGCAGCGACCATGCGCATCTTACTGCAAAACAGTGAACGCACATGGCGAGTCGATCCCAACTTCCTTCTCTCCTGCCGCTAGACCTCTGACTCCGCCATGGTGCCTCGCTCAACCAATTATTAATATTAACATACCTGGCGTCTATAAAAAGGCCAATTTGTCGTCACCGGCTCTTAAACAGCTCACACTACTTATCTTGTATGAGAAATACCAAGACTCCCCACATATATACACTGACGGTCGGTTCAGCCGGACAGCTCTACAGGAGTAGTAGTGATACCAAAATTGGCCACGACAAATAAATTCAAGACATCTCACGCAACAACATCAACGGCAGCAGAATCGGCAGCACTTCGTGCCACGTTGCAATTTGTCGTTGATCAACCTACATGCAAGTGGACTATTTTCTGCGACTCGAAGGCGGCACTGCAGTCTCCACTATCAGCCTTCCGCCGTGGACCACACGAGCAGCTGGTACTAGAGATAGCAGAGGTTATACACCACCTGACCGAGAAAGGGCACCAAATCACATTTCAGTGGTTACCCAGTCACTGCGGAATCATCGGCAATGAACGGGCCGATCAAGTTGCCCGCTCAGCCCACACAGAAGATCATAAACTACGACTACCACTTTCTAGGACAGATGCCGCACGAAAGCTCCACAGGCTTGCTCGCCAGCAAACCAGATCACAATGACATCAGCCACACTTCAAGCATGCCTGACTGTACTCGCTTGACCCTACGCTAAGTCTTCAAGTCCCGTCGAGGCTTTGCCGAGCAGACCAGACCCTGTTATGTAGGCTGTGGTTGGGCGTTGCGTTTACCAACGCCTACGCTTTCCGCATCAGGATGGCCGACACCGCAGCCTGCGGCCACTGTGGCAAAGAAGAAACGATCCAACATATTCTTTGTGACTGTCTACAGTATAGTAAACAATGACTATGCCTTCGCAAGGAACTCAGCAAATTAGATAATCAACCTCTGTCGGAGCAAGAAATTCTACAATATCGACAAGATGCAAATTCACACAAGAAGGCCTCAAAAGCGCTACTACACTTTTTGTGATCGACTGGCCTTACTGAACGGTTGTAGCTAGGACGCCCTTCCTGTGTGTGTTTTCGTTTTCACATGAGTGCGCGTGCGTTTTTTATTATCTACCCCCTCTTTCTTGTCCCTATTTCCCCGCCCCCAGCGCTGGGTAGCAAACCAGATTCCAATATCTGGTTAACCTCCCGGCCTTTCCTTTTTCTCTCTCTCTCTCTCTTTGGACACTCTTCAGCACGCCAAATTCAGGGACATTCTATATTAACCACAGTAAATGTACAGTATGCATGGCCGTACATTGATGTGCATGTTATTATTTTGCTTTTAAAGTTAGGTGAAACCGGTCAATGCAATTACCTTGATTAAATGTTTACAGTATACGTACACACTTCTGAGAGGGCCGAGGAAGTCCTGCAGTAGATGTAAATAAATAAATAATGTTCAAGAAGCTTACCCGCCGTATGAATGAGGCCTGACAAACAAGCAGCTCTAACTTGAGCAGCCCAGCACCGCTACAGCCACTATAGTGGCTGTAGCCAACCGAGATCAGCGTCTTTCCTTTTCAAATGAGAGATTTCGTGAAGGGGACACGCAACAGGGCTGAGATGGAAAAACGTTTATTACAAAGAAAAAAAAATATGCAATAAGGGTTAAGAACAGGTGGGTGGGGCCCCTAGTCCAGGGCATCACTGGCCTCAGCAGCCCGCCGCGCCTGGTCCAGAAGCGCCGCTTGTGGCCTCATTTTTACAGGGATGAATGAGGAGACGCTTAGTTAAGTTCTTTCCCGGCATGTTCAGAATGTAACACGACTCCACCTCTAATACTGCTTCTTTAATCGGGCCTAGGTGTCATTCAATACGTCAGTTTTGAGAGACCATGGAACTGCTCTCATCGATGAGTTCGTGTTGATGAGGCCGAAACAAAGAGGGCAGTATGTGGATATGCCAGCTATATTTAAACTCTTTTTTTTTCGTGTTATCTGCGTGATCGTAATTTTCTCGCTTTGCTGATGCCTAAAATTAACGTTATAATATGATTACTACTACGTGTAATGCCGGTTGAAACCTCTCCCCGTAGTCATTTTTCTACCCGATATTGCGTAAACTTATTGTATTCTGCGCCTTTAAACGTCCCATATAATTCCTGAGTGAATAGGACTGGTAATAAATGAAAATTAAAACATACAAGTACTATCTCCTTCTGTACTCTCTTATCTTCGTTATTAGCACGACGGCCCGTGTTCCCACCATCATTTATTTTATTAAGCCTGCCGTGCGAGCATTTCGTAACAAGTCAGTTTCACCGTGAAACACCTCAGAAATTATCAGGCATTTCGGATGAATTTATTCAGCACAATAACCCGGATGTATCGAGACGTGATCAGAATGGTGTGTCGGTGATGAAGTTACTGATCATCTGTAAGGCTTGTGCGGGCTTGTCCTCTGGTACCATGTGACCGGCTCCCTGCATAACGAACCAGTACAGAGCATACTGAGATAAAACATCTGGGAAATGCGCTGCCAGATCCTGTTCTCTTGGGGTTGGCAGGTGTTTGAAAGAACACTAGGTGGAAAAATAAATTAGTTCAGGCTGATAAATTAAACTCTGAAAACTCTAGTAGCGTTACTTTTACAACCATGTATTTACTATTAGGAGAGAAAATTAATATCAAAAGTTTGCTTTTCAATTACCTCCCTGAATTTCTGATGGAGTTGCCACGTATTACAGTTGTTTCGTATTTTGACAACATTGCTCAACGAAATTTATGTACTCGGCTCGTTAAGTTTCTAGCTTCGTAAAAGGGAACACTTTACTGGTTAGGAAATAAATAGGCCTAGGAGATGACGTTAGAATCTATGGCGTAGCGGATACTGGGGGGGGGGGGGGGGGACCTAAATATGGCATCCACATTCACACTTTTTGCGTTTTTTTTCTTCTTAGCAGGCATCTTCTCCCTTCCAGTGTGGGCTTCCGTGAAAAAAGTAATTTACTATTGAGAAAAAATTATCTTTTGCTATAATTTCCCTCTAAAATTGACTGGCTGTGCTGACATAGTGTTTTTCTAATGTTCTTTCTAGATTACATGAGGGCCGATGAGCCGCTTATCTTGGTGAGCTTTACCGCCCACGATTCATTTTGGTTTTGTCAGCATCTGTTGACAATTAGGATGTGTTAGCCCTTTCTGAATACACCTTAATAATAAGGAGCTTCATTATGAGTTACTGCGATGACGTATGCAAAGGTTCATTCGTAGTTCGTGAGAATCGAGGTGCAAAGCGACAAACAGGAGACCGCGTGGAACATCAAAATGGACACCAACCTTGATCGTCACGAAAGTGATGTTATTTTCATACGTCTGAAAAAATCCTGCCACTTGATCTTTGTGCTTCCAGAGCTTGTACGTTGACTTTGGCTGAAACACAATTCGGGAAAAAAAAAGATGACGGTATTGAAATTTTCATTTTAATGCCTGAAAAACAGGCTTCAACATATCGATTTAATCTTGCAACTGAGAGTTACACAATAAGTCATCTAAAGGTTACAGCAACGCAGGTTGTCTAGCCCAGTGATCGAACAAATTGGCTTTTAAGATCTTTCAAGTATACTGGCGAATTTCAATACCATTCTACCCATTAATACAACTCTGAAGAAAAACAACAGAAGATTAGAAAAAAGCGGAGTTTAGAAGTCATAATAATATTATCTAATGAAAACATTCAGTACTTCGCTTGCCTTCGGTTCCTCACTTGTCATTTGCTACGTAATGTACTGCACTGATCTGCCACTAAATTTGACATGACAGCCCCTATATTTACAATAGCCCAATTTAGTGTTTCTTTTTTTCTTTTTGCGCACATACTTGCTGTTCTTTTCTTCCAATTCTGAGTCTTGCAAAGAGTGATAGTCATTCATAAAAATGCTGCTAAGCATCTACTTGCTGCCAGACAAGTTCACCTGTCAAAACACTGGTTTAACCATCAGTGCCTTCTTTAATTATTCCCCGTGTTTGCTTTACTACAACACGCATAAATATGCAACATCTGAATTACGGTGGCACCACGTTAGTTCACACGTAGAAGTCTATTCTCCTGTACTTCTTACCTTATACCCCAATGTGTTGACGAACCATTCGTCTCCTAGAAAGTTGCAAGCCATGTCGACGTCGCCGTTGTAGATGAGGGTCTTCAGTTGTTGGGAATCCACGAGCTCTTTTACGACATTCTTCATTGACCGGTATTGCGTTGAGTAGTTCAGGACGTTACTGTAGATTTAAAATAACAAAAACGGCGAAGTTAGTCTTCTTCTTACATTTAAAGCCTCACTACAGCCTCGTAACGGCAATCTAGTGGTTTTAACAAAAGGACTGCTGACCCGAATGTCGCTGGATCGAATGCCGACCGTGGTGGCTGCATTTTCGATGGAGGCGAAGATGCTGAAGACCCGTGTGCGTGGATTTAGGTGCACGTTAAAGAACCCCAGTCCAGTTGGTTGAAGTTTGCGGCACCTACTACTACGGCTTCTCTCGTAATCATATCGTGGTTTCGGGAAGTTAAATATCATATAACATTATCCTACAATTGAAACCTTCCAAATATTCTTCTAAACTTATTCGCCTAAATGCAGTCACTCAGCTTCGAAGATGCGACAGGAAAACCGATTCAACGTGGAACGGAAGCTTCGCGAAATCCCATATTGAACCAAATCGCTGAGAGGTAATAATGGTTCTCTGCACGTTGTCCTACACTTTATTTTCTGTCTATCCTATTTTCCGGGAGCATACATAGACTAAATATTCTGGCGCTCGAGGATGGTGACGTTGCTTTCAGCCCCACGAAGTTACCCACGATACGCTGGTTTACGTTAGAATAGTGTCACGTCACCTCCATGATGCATCTACGAGTTTGCTTATATTGCAGTACATATTGTGAAGTTCATGTGTCCATGAAGATATACCATGGTAAGTTTCTATTCATACTCACAAGAACACGCTGCTTAGGAGCACGTCCAATTTGAAGTTGGAGAATTGTCCCCCCCAATATGACATGGGGGCTGCTATTAGCCATCCTATCACAGCCATTCTTAAAGCTATACTCCTAATATGAACTCGCTACATTATTCAAATCAGGTATTCTTGCACTATCTGCCGTGTGTGGTTTACTTTAATCATTTGTAGGCAGTGTAAAACTTTGTCCTTTTGACTATAAGAGTTAATTACTGGACCCCAGGCATCATTAAAGGGCATCTACTTCATTAGACAGGTAGAGGGCATACGTAACGAGCGACCATGAAAGCTGTTCATTCACAAGTAGGAGTTGCGCGTCCCATTCTGCCAAGCATTTCAACAAGTGAGAGACAGCTGGACCCACCTGCACTCATCCCATTCCAGCGTTGAGTTCTCGACGTGCAGCGCTACTTTCACGTCTTCTCGTGTAAGATAACGTTTGACATTCTCGCTATCAATGCATGCTGGACTGGAGCTCAAGTTGTCCTGAAAGAGAAATTGTTGAACTTTCCGAATTGGCAATGACTGGCCGTGTAAACTGTGATAAAGTAATCGCATCCGCCTCGACTGCTGGCCCCAAATTCTGCGGAATCGAATCCCAGCCGTAACGGCCGCATTTTGGTTGATGCGAAATGCTAGTTGCCCTTGTAATTAACTTTAGGTGCGTGTCGAATGACATCAGCTTCTTTAAATTTACGGATCCTTCCACACACAGCATCCTCACACAATCATAACGTGGTTTTGTGACGTAAGACCCGTACATTTATTATCAATATCTAAGCCAACCCCCTTATAAGAACCATTCTTCTTATCTGACATTTCAGTGTGTGCGTTCAATGAAGCCATAGCGCCGATGAAAGAGGGACCACTGATGGAAGACAGGAGGGGAGCTTGGTCTTTCTGTGGACCCTGTCTTAGCAGCATTATGTTCAATGAACGCAACAAACTAGCCCAAAGTTTGTTCCCTGTCTTGTTCCCGCGAGCACTTTGCTAAGAGGCCATCTAAGAGGCCATGTGGTCATCTTAACTGATATTATTGTTTGAATTAAAACTTCTCTGCTCCAGGTGTAACAAAATTGCTGGGTGCTATAGCTGTTTGGGTATGTTAAGGCAATGCCTGGCACTGGAGCTGTATGAGTACGCACCAGGTCACGTGTGACGTTGACGCTGTGCGCAATCAGCTGTCTCGACCGGTGGTAGCGAGACGAGGGACTTGCCCGGGAACCAAGAAGCCTTCTGCCGCTTTCGTCTTCGCACTTGTCGTACAGGTTGTACACGTTCAGATGCTCGTCGTATATGACCTCCAAGGCATCCTGGACCTGAAACAAGCGGAGGAAAAAATAATCAATTGAAGCCTACCTAGATATCTTTTCGCAACATTGATGTTGATTGCCAATAGTGAATTTCCTGGGACATGGTTGTTTGAAGCAAATTGTGGAATGTATGTGGTGACGTAATTGACGGAGGCCATCCTGGAGCAGCTTCTTGAGCAGCTCAGATCTAACTGTGGAGCAGCAAATCAGCTTTTAGCACGCGAGTGTTTTATGCTGGGATTTAGCACGACCCCACTGACGCACTTCCGTCGCGGATAGAACGTTGCAAAATATGATGTAATGCTCCTAACGGTAGGAATCGCCATCTACCGTTAGGTACACACTACTTGTTGTACACTGACTTCGCCTCCGGTCTCGTTCATGAATAGACGAGACCCGGCTGCTTATCCTCTCATGTTTCAGCTATGTTTCTTGCTTCTACTTGACCCTTTGTTTCACTCCTCCCTTTCCCTGACACTGTACCATGCTCCCTATCGGCCTGCAGAAACAACTGCTATTTCCATAATAAGCGCTACTGCTCACACTCCCTGTATGCCAGTACTATTACAAGATGGTAGCTGAATAACCAGTGCCAGCGGCTGGTTGGGTGTTCGCAATAATAACAAGGAAATATCGTGGTGATAAGTTGTGACAAGCCTCTACCCAAACCTTGGCGCTCGTCTTGCTTCACATCCCGCAGCCGTCACAGCAAATCATGGCGCCTAGGGTTCACAACTACGTCGAATCTAGTCGAAACGATCGATTGGTTCGTTATATCCGATATCTGTTGTATTATTGAAGTTAAAGTGGTGCAAAAAATTTAACGCCTGGCTCCCGCAACTATCGTAGGTACATAACACATTATTCGAGCTTTAAACCCACTTATAAAGGACATAATACTTACGTGTCTAATTGTGGGTATTCAAATCAAACAGAATGAAGTATGAATAAGACATATTACAACACAACAAAGTTCACTTGACGAAACAAACTTGCGTTCACATTTACTTCATAAAAAATGTGTTCTTCGTGTGACGGCTTTTCACAGCAATTCATAAACGCACTTCAAAATCAAAAACATAGTTTCTGCCGGGCTGTAAACTCGATAGCTGGCATAAAATGTAAAATAAATGCGTACAGGCAATTCACAACCAAACTTTTATTTGTTATAGCCGATATTAGCCCGCTCTCACGTTTTCGGTTCTATGATGAAAGGAATAAATGTAATCGTGACAAATCAATGTTAGCATTATTTCGCTATAAGCAGCAATAAATTATATCAGTGTTCGTTATAACGAGGTTGGATTATATTTTTGACGTGCTGACGTGTTTACGCTGATAAAGCTCACATACATCGTAGACGAAAATGAGAACTGCTCACCGCAGTCGCGCACTCCAGCGTCTCACGTTCCACAAAGTCGCACGACTGCTGGGAAACGCTTCCGTGGCAGCAGTTACTCGTCAACCTGGTCCAAAGGCTGAAACACAATAAAAAAGGAAACGTTAAACAAAACGAAATTCACCCAATCGCAGCGAAGAGCAAATAAGCTTTCATCGACATCACACCTACTACTCGCGGACTGCTGGACGACGCTAAACGCAACTAAAACTTGATTAGTGAAGTCACTACTCCATGGTGGCATATTGCCTTTCCGACGAACACTGCAACGATTGAAACGTTTGTTGAAGTTGTGAAAGCGATAGAACAGCATTTGTGAGCGCTCTTGCCACATAGTAGCTTTGGTTAAGCAATGCGCAGGAACCCTTCCTGATTGAAACTGTCTGTGGCAGGCAATTCCTTTTGAATAACTTAACCTCTACCAAGAAGCAAGGCTAGCGTTTACGTAGTCTTTTTTTTCAATCAAATGAAATAAAATATATTTCAGCATTCGTACAATGCTGAGGATCATGGAAAGCCTACAACGTTTGACTAGGTCAATGGCCCCAGTTTTCGAGGCAGAAACAAAACAACCATTGGGAACAGCAGTTTAATACTAAAATATAAAAAAATATTGGCTGATCACAATACATCATGCAAACCTATAAATTGTTATTGATATCTAAATATCCTGAAGCTATGCATCCTCAATGCGTGTATTAATGATTCAATCAACGAGTTTGGTTTTTAGAAATGCCGGGAGCTTTTGAATCAAACATGCTGTGAAGGCGATGGCGAAATACAATTGTTGGAATATTTCTCACGCAATATCATAAGCGTCACGCACGGCAACGTTTTTAAGAGAAATATGCTACAAAATCAGCGCTCTAAAAATCTTCAAACAAAAATGTAGCACGATTGTGTCGGATTATTCTGCTCATATTGGCATAACGCCCTTAACTCTGACGCTCATCCAAATCGATCTCAAATATTGTATCAATTTTTCAACTGTTCATACGGCAGAATGATAACAACGCCTCCTGTACCTGCGGCCTGCAATCAAAAATAATAACAAATAGGTATATGCCTGTTTTTACCTTAGTCCGTAGAGTCCATGGTAGTATCCGAAGAAGACCAAGGCGTTGCCCAAGATGTTGAGGTCAAGAGCGCCGTTGCCAACGGCGTAACCCTTGATAAAAAATGGGTACCTTAAATTGTAGTGCACTGGCAATGCTCCCTAGATTTATTCACATTTTGCTAAAACTGTTGAAAATTTCAAATTTATTGGTCTCAATTTCATTTAAATATTGCAACTCAGTATATAACGCTTGATTTTTTTTCAAATTTTTCCTATATAAATGTGGGTCTGAACACATGTGCGCAGAGCAGTGTTCCACACCGAAATGCCTGTGCTGTAAGCTTAAAACAGACATACTGATATACAGTTGATTTTGATTCAACAGGATACTTTGGAGATAATTTTTTTTTTTGCAAAAACCGCGGACAGTATCCGGAATACAGTTAAGGGAACCAAGCTACCGATACTGAAATGTGTTCTTCGTTTTATTCGATGATACTGATGCTCTGTGATGCATCTATTGGGTGCAGAATAGGACTGTGATTAAAGCTTCAGTGCATTAAATCTTGCGAGACAAGCATATCGCTGACATGTCTAGCTAAAAGCAGTAAATTAAAAAAAAGCGTAGATATGTTAGGTTTGCTCGGTATATTCTTCTTCTTTTGTGGGGTTTAACGTTCCAAAACCACCATATGAATATGGGAAACGCCGTAGTGGAGGGCTCCGAAAATTGCGACCGCCTGGGGTTCTTTAACGTGCACCCAAATCTGAGCACACGGGCCTACGACATTTCCGACTCCATCGGAAATGCAGCCGCCGCAGCTGGGATTTGATCCCGCCACCTGCGGGTCAGCAGCCGAATACCTTAGCCACTAGACCACCGCGGAGGGGCTTGCTCAGTATATTAATGCGTGAATAGCACTGAAACAATAATAAGATTTATCAATTAGGCTGTAATTTACACATCATTAGATCGGCCTCACTATAAGACTCGCAAGCTTCAGAAGTGGCTTCGCGCCCCAAAAGAATTCGAGATTGCGGCACCCACCATGACAAGAAGCTACTTTCGTGGCCCGAGAATGACAACGTAGCTCCTGCGATTCTGTCGTCAGCGGTGTCAGGCATTTCACCGCATAGGCCTTGCGTGAGTGCGAGAAACCCCACTGCGCCCTCAGTATGTCACTGAACGGCAGCGCACCTTTCCTTAGAACAAGAAAAAAAATATCTAGCAGTGGTATAGCTTGGCTATGCCAGGATATAAGTAGCGTGAGCTATGGGGGTGCCACTAAACTCAACATTTCGCGCATGGCACTAATTACCGGCACCAAGTCTTTCATGTGCCACAGTCTTTCACGTACGTCACACACATGTACAAACAAACTATTTACGAAGTCCGCCTCGAAGGTTCGAGTCTCACTGGCGCTTCCGCTAAGCTTCGCCGCATAGTCTGTCAATCGACCTCCTGCCGACGCCACTTTGCTATAGACGTTCCTGCTTTTGCTCCGGTCATCCGCACCACGTGCAGCCTTCTGTTCGCTCTTCGCACGCTCAAACGCTGATTGCCACGCAAATGGTTCGGGATCCGACGAGTTAAGCTTATCCGCTCTCATGCGCCGCTGAGCAGCAATTTCACTTTCCTTCTTTATGGTTATATAATACTGGCAAACATCCCGCTATAGACCCATTCCATGTTTCTAAACATAGGTAGGCCGACGTCGACATTAAGGGTAAAATTAGAGCGACGTCCACACGTAACTTCCGCCATAAGCGCTGAGGATAGAGCTGCTGTATATGCTACCTTTAGGTAGCCAAAGGTAGCATATATAGTAAACTCTAGCTGATGGCTGCGATGTGCGCCAAAAAACGACGTTGTGAGATGCCATAAGCGTTGTGAAAGCCATGAGCTCTGAGGGCTGCAATTTGCGCCAACGAACAAAACTATATATATAAGTTGTGAGACGCGATTCACATCAAACCGCGACGCAGCTCGTCGGCTTACCATTTTTTTTTTCTCGCTGCTTTACTGAGAACACCACTTGCACAATTGAAAACCCAGCAGAAACTGTGGTAGGCAGAGCGTCTTTTGCCTACCAATACAGCGCCACCGCATTTTCGGGACGTAAGTCCGCTGGAATTGTGGCAGACGCGACTTAAGAGAGCAGCGTGGCTCAAGATGCAAGAGCCACGGGGTACGATGACGATGCGTCTGCCGCGGCTATGACGTCACTCCTCTGGACTGTGCACACCGGCGAGGCATGCGCAGTCACTGCTCCCCACGCAGGCGTAGCACGGCACGGCTCTTGTACGCACACGCGAAGTCGGTTTGCCCATAGAGCTTCCTAAACGTACACACTAGAGGGAACTCTGGCGCTAGTGTCTACGGGAGCTGCAACGCACAGCGCTTCAGCGAGCATGGGAAGCATGGGTAGTACACACATTTGTCTAATCTTCGTACTTCTGGCCTGCTTCTGGCTCCGTTTGTGTTCGTGTAGCTTAGAGCTGCTTTCTCACGAAACAAAAAATCAGCAAATGTTCACCGGTTGTGCTTCAGCACATTATTTTTTGAAAGCTTACCTTTTCAAATCAGGTCACTAAGTTCAAAAGGGATCGTTCTTTTCTTTAAAGCGAAACCGTAACCAGCAATAAACGAATCCGCAGGTACGATTCGCTACCCGCAAGTACGAAGACTAGGCAAATGTGTGTACAACCCATCATTCCCATGGTCGCTGAATGATCGCAGCGCCAGAGTCCCCTCTAGTTAATTTTAGGAAACTCTAGGGTTTGGCGCGGCCAGTGTAGCTAGCGCTACGAGAAGTCTTCTCTCCTTTTTAAACACGTCAGCTCATTTTCAGACAAAAAGGTTACGAGATACCTCTGTCTTACACTGAGTAACGATGTGATAGACACATCGTAAAAGCATTTCACTACTGCGAGACAAATGGATTTTGCATGCCGATGCTCACAGTATCTTCAAGATACTTACATGACACTCATGTATCGATAAATTGTCTGGCCCTGTACAATCGTTGAAAACAGCGAACCGATAACGCAAATCTAACTGATGTAATAATCATCCAACTGAAGTATGTCCCTAACTTCTCAAGAAACGTATTGCATGTGACTCGTGAATTGTGACAGCCACTCGGAAAACTAACCCCCGTATTCACGAAGGCTCCTCGACACGACTTCCACCCTTCACTTGACCGAGTTGTGCATTGCGCCACCGCTCGGCTGAAAATGACGCTGCGCTACTCAAGAGTCGCAGCAGCTTATCGCTGATATGCAGTGACTTGCCATGCCTAGAGACGGCGCTTCCATCGGCTTTCTCAAGTGAAGGTGAAGCGTTGAGCGAAGGGACATTCTAGAATACGGGGAATAGTTCGGAAAACCATCCCCTACGACTTCGAGTGTGTCAATAGTACACAACAAAAAGAAAAAAAAAGAAACTGACATGGCAGTAGAAAACTATCTGCGTTTAAGGCCGCGACGTTCGTCTGGTTTCTTGCATTCACGCTTGCCCGCCTTGGCTTTGTTCATAACGAGTCGCCAGCGACTACACTCGCGGACATTTGACGGCAGTGCTGCGGAAGTTACAGAACCGAAAAGCTTGACAACTAGCATACTAATTAATAGCAGTTAATAGTAATTTCTTCATTTGCATTACTCAAAGAAATGTAGCTCTATTTTTTTTTCGACTAGAAATCTAACGGAAAGTGGTGGGTAAAATTAAGCTTATATATATGTGAATAACTTTGGAAGATGCACTTTTCATTCCTTAGGCAGCACCACATTTTGTTCGGGCATGTTTTCAGACGGAGACATGGAGCACGTGAGGTGCGTTGATCCGCTTGCAACCGTGAACCAAACGCTCAGTGTCAGTTCTACAAAAAATTTTTTTTCTTGAAATGGTACTCCGAAACTTACGCTACGCAACCTAAATGTACCTCTCCCATTCGCACTATTCAAGTGTATGTTTTTCTAACCACGTTAGCACGGCGAGCAAGCAAAAGCTCAACTAGAACTGAGACCACCTTTAACAAAGTAGTGAAAACATTTGGAGAGGAAGGGGTGGGGGGGTTCACTTTCAACCCAAAATTTTTCAATTTTACTTGCGTACACACCCACACACACAAACGCACTAGGGAACGTGCATAAAATATAGTCGACCCCCCCCCCCCCCCTTCCGAACCAGATTTTGGCTACACCCCTGAAGCTGAGTAGCACGAACTTACGAAAGCCACGTCCCCGTAGACGAGATAACTGTTCACTGAGTACGGCCCAACCTCCTGCCCTTATAAACGTTTCATATTACGCTTACCTTTAGCTGGATGCCCTTTGGATTCTTGAGCACTCGCTGCGTCAACATGGGCACGTAGATGCCTCCGTAGCTCTCGCCCGCAATATAGAAGTCGTTGTTCTTGAGACTGGGGAACTTCGAGAAGAAGTCCTGGAGGGCCAGGTAGTTGTCGTCCGCTGTCTGGTCGTCGTTGGTCGAGTAGTTTCCACTCGGGTCGTAAGAGAAACCGACGCCAGCGGGCGCTTCCAGAAAGATGATGTTCGCGATCTGGAGAAACCGACCCCCCTCTATAATGATATGTGCGATTAAGATGCAACAAGGTCTCATCGATCGAAGTAAAAACGACATCACAGAAAACCGCAGTGTACAGGAGCGAGCGTGTCGTATATGGCGTGAAATATAACATAATCAAAGATACTTTTTCACCATTCCGGTGTGATTTAGACCTAGTTCCAGAGGAGAAGTGATTTTGTCGCCAAATTTGATGCAGCGTGGAAGTGGGACAGGAAAATTACTTTATTGCAAGTGACTGAAAAGATGAGACAGGACACGTGACCATGTTTTTCTTTTTTTTTTGTCAAAGGAACCCTTTCTATGAAAAAAGAGCAAAGCGCAGATGCACTTTATTGTCCCTTTCAAAGGTGGCGCTACCTTCATTTTACCGAGATGTTGGAGGGTGTGGGTGGGGACACTTACGACGTGCTACTTAGGAATAGAAGGGTTCCCCAAGCTGTGAGACACTGTTAATTTTTGAGGTGTTCCTGGCACTTAATCCGGTGAAGTTTATTGTTATTTATATATACTACATTGCGACCATACCCACCCTATAATACCTACGAATTCTGTGGTTATGACGTTAATAAAATCAATCAATCGATATAGGTGAATGAACATAGAAGGACCGGCTTTCCAAGATGGGTGCTCATAAGAAAAAAACTGGTTAGTGCCCGGCTAGACTAGGAGGGGAGTGCTTCTTGAAGAAGGAAAAGGTGAACCGTTACTTTGCATCTTTTGAAAGAACATGTCTGATCTCGTCGAACCGTGTACATGAATGCAGACGCTCAGCATTTTAACCAACCCGCTCCGCCGCGGTGGTTTAGTGGCTAAGGTACTCGGCTGCTGACCCGCAGGTCGCGGGATCGAATCCCGGCTGCGGCGGCTGCATTTCCGATGGAGGCGGAAATGTTGTAGGCCCGAGTGCTCAGATTTGGGTGCACGTTAAAGAACCCCAGGTGGTCGAAATTTCCGGAGCCCTCCACTACGGCGTCTCTCATAATCATATGGTGGTTTTGGGACGTTAAACCCCACTTATCAATATCAATATCAATATCAAGCATTTTAACCACCGCTATGGTGCAGCAGTTACAGGACCAGTGCCACACGTTTGTTTAGATCCCCCTTCTCTCTCTTTCTAGCTGTTCACATTGGGGGAAGAAATAGCAAAAAAAATTAGGAGTCATTGCCCTATCGCGGAAAAAGGACGCGTGAGCTTCGAGTAGAAGGCTATGACGTATTGACGTAACAGGGGCCCCTGCGCATCCTGTGAGTTCTCAATTGCTAGTCCAGCTTCGCTTCTCAGAGTTAGTGGCGGATCTAGAGGAGGGTATAGGGGCGATCGCCCTCCTCACCTCAGATCATATGTTGGCAACCCCCCCCCCCTTCTATGCTTGTAGTCCACCTCCTATCAGCAATACGGACACATGTGTGAGGCCACTGTGAGCACAAATTAGCAGTATAAATGCTACACTCTTTAAAAAAAGGCAGTGCTACTTACTAACTTCGAGGTTGTTAAATTGTTGTCACAACATTTACTACATAAGTAGTAACTGTGGGCAGTAGACCGCAGACATTTACTTCCTCTGGTTGCTTTTAAGGTAGTAAACGTCTGTGGTACACTACCTGCAGTTACTACTTAGGTAATGAATGATGTGACAACAATTTACTACCACAAATTTACTAAATAGCACTGCCTTTTTTAAAAAGAGTGTATGATAGTGTTTTCGTTCTGCCAAAAACAAAAAAAAGTCCGGAGCACGCCTCCTCTCGGGTGTTACTTCAAGCGACCGCCCCTCCTAAAACTAGAGGGCTAGAACCACACCTGCTCGAAGCATGTCTCAACCATGACCTACTGTACTCCTTACCTGTCCAGATAACTGGGTTCCTACGGAAGCGCATGTACCCGCTCTCGTTCAACCACTAACCATTGGTGGTTGAACTTTATGGTTGTTTTTTTATGGCGCTGGGGTAAGAATGCCTGAATTTTGTGGTGAACTGCTGACATATATGGGACTATTTCTTTACTTAGATGGTGGGTAAAGTAAGCTGTTCTGTGCGCTTAACTGTTTATTGCACCCTGGTTGGCAAACATGGGAACTCGTAGACTTACATGATGTAGGACAACCTATGTGGTGTCACGTCCTTTTAATTGATAAAAAATTCTGAATTATGTTTAGTAGATTTATTCCTGAATTATTTTTATTTGTGCATAATAAATAGGTACTATAAGTTCCCTGTTGGCCAAAATATGACCACAAACGCTGAAAGTTAACTCAGAGAACAGGTGCTGGCTGGCGCCACGCCGCTCCTAGGTTACGGCCCTAGCGGCAGAAGGTGTGAACTAGAACGAGGGCGCTGGAGAGGAGCTCTCTGGGCAGGTCAGCAGTAGTGTAGGTTATGGTCTCAACCATGACGCTTAGATACGAACGTCTGCGAGCGTAAACTGTGCGTTTAGAGCTATCCTAGAATGCACATTGAAAGCACAGTCGTTCAGTGCTAACCACATCATAAATCTTTTCGCGAATCAACGAAGTTCCCAATATCGGTCTGTGTGTTGCTCGGGGATATGTGAGTGCTTGTGTGAGTGCTCGCGAGAGTCGAATTTGCGCTAAATTCTTACACAATCAATTTATCGCTTACAGAAACACTCATTTCTCACTCACAGCCACTGACATCGGCAACAGAATGTCTGCGATATGATTTCCTTCACGCAATCGCGTTAAAGTGGAGGTAAAGGAATCTTGGCGGGTTCGTTCCTGTCGTACTTCTTTCTAGCTTAATCATAATGTAGTGCAGCGCAAAAAAAAGCAGACAACAAACGAGGAGGGGACGTGTCCTTGTCCCATAGGTCGTTTGTTGTCTGCTTTATGCGCTGCACTACATTATGATTGACTTGTTCCAAATCTCCCAACAAGCAACGTTTTTAACTGGATCACATCCAAAACGAAGTCGTTGAAAATGTGACGTTCGAATACAAGAAGGAGCATCACAGCGTGAAAGCGAAAAAAAAATAAAGAAATGTTGATACTATAGTACGACGTATGCAAAGTAAGCTTTCTTTTAAAGCTGCTTGCGTTTTTCATGAAAACTATCCGGTTCTTGGCCAATCCCCCAGCGTGAGTGCGCGCTACATCTTCAAAGATATTGACTTGACAATAGCAATTCTCGGGGTTTAACGTCTCAAAACCATTACGAGAGACGCCGTAGTGGAGCGCTCCGGAAATTCAGACCACGGGGGGTTCTTTAATATGCACCTAAATCTAAGTACACGGGCCTTAGGTTTTTTCGCCTCGATTGAAAATGCCGCCACAGAGATCGTTATACCATCCCGCGACATGCGGGTCCGCAGTGAAGCTCCACAACAACTATAATAGACCACCGTGGCGGGTTGTTCATTTCTTTGGCATCACACATTGTTCTGCCCTAACTTTCCTTCCTTCCTGCCTTTTCACTTATATGCACGAGCTTGTCAGAGCAAAATTTAAGTGGCTACCGGCAACAACTCTGGTCCTACGTTCACATTTAGGCAATGACAACGCAAAATGACGCGTGATCTAGACGAAAAATCAGCTTATCACATCGGAAACAAGTGATCGCTGACAAGTCATGGATCTAGAGACCATCAGTTATTGGACTATCACGCATACAAAAACGATGTCACCGGCGCACGTCTGTCGGACGCATTTCCATGCACTCAGTGGTGCACAATTTTATGCACCCCCGCAGCAGAGTACCATGTAATCACACACTTTTTAGATCGACCACGCTGAGTAGGCATCCGAAGAAGACGAAGACTTAGGGACGGCTCACTGCTCTTCCATAGTTGAGTACCAAATACTCGAAATCGTTCAACATTTTTTCTAAACACACAGCTGCCCGTTACAGGAGTCTAACCATCATATGCTGCAGCAATGTGTCATTGCAAAGTCCGTTAACACAAGTTTTCGTGGCCTAGGTGTTAATCGCTTTGTAACATCTGGGCACTGCTCGTGTAGTCACTTTGCACGCCTTCTTATAGCTGCGGGCGCTTTTTGTTTGTGGCGTAATAGGTGCGAGGCTGTTGCGGCAGGTCATCGTCGTCGTGCTCTCTTTCTGATTCTGGAACGCTTATACTCTGAACTTCTATTGTTTCTGTCGGAGGAATCGGTTTTCCTTGGGGAGGAAGAATTTCTACGACAATGGTTGTGCCACTTTCTGTACGAAGTTGACAGACGTGATCGATTAGCCTTCCATCTGGCCTGGTTCCTATAGCCAGGTCACCTGTCAGTGTCTGATTAGTGCATGTAATCTGTATGTGTTTACTATTTATATGTGTTTGTGTGCACCCCGTATAGGTGTGAGTTCTTGTACATATGCACTTCATTCTAACCCTGTCAAGTGTAAATTTCACGAATCTTGACACCTGTGTTATATACTTGCTAACATCTTCCCCAAGTCTTGTACATTCTGTACATATATGATCATGTACATTGTCCATATTGTGATTACTGTATATATGTAGTGTATATATGTAGGCCTTAGCAAAATGGGTTAAGGACACCCTACGGATAAGGACACTTTTGTTTAAATGTGTCATGTATGTTCTGCTTTGCCATTTGTTGGCTATTGTGCTTGTTGTATAGACGCTCGTTCCATAGGTTTGTTGCGTCCCACAATAGAATGAACTTTTTCTAAACACACAGCAAAAGCTGTTATGAGATCACAACTCGGCTCACGCGAAGTTGTCCGCCGCCGCCCCCACCGCTGTTGTCCGTAATCACATCGCGCTAATTTAGAAAAAAAAAACCTAGCACCAATGACACACTGGAGCTCAAACCCGGATCCGCTGGGTGCCAGCCCAGTATTCTTCCACTGAGCCACTGTGGTGCTTGGGACTTGTTGGCAAACTTGACTTAGACAGGCTTGATATCGGGAAAGCAATCGCGTTAATACGACTGATCAAGCATTTTAATGGAGCGAAAGAACAACCAGTCTTCGCACAATGCGAATAGCGTAACGAATGGGTCATCCAATGCTATAACACATTACAAAATCTTCTTGATGTTCTTATTAACTGTGGTGCATACGCACTACTACCAGAATTACTCATCGTTGTCAGCCACTGCATGAACAACTGGCACCGAATTCTTTGCAAGTGTTTAGCGGATACCCCGCTGATCAGAAGAATGACAAAAAATAGCATAGCGAATGCCAGCCTACTACACCAAAAACATTATTATAATGCCCTAGCGGGTATCAAGCAAGTGTGCTTGCAGCGGCTACCCAAGGAGAGTTTAGAAAAGGCCTTGAAAGGCCGCTCTTCTAGCTTTCACTGTGACAGTGCTGCCCCTTCCGCGCAGGCCTGACGTCTTTTTCAATGTATAGACGCTGTTGCCTAATGTTCGTTACGTACCACAATAAAATAAACAGCTAAACACGCAAATTCGCCTCGTACTCGCCTTGTTCCATCTGTAGGGATTGACGATCAGTTTTGTTCCTCTCCTGACCGCTCGAAAAGGTCCCTGCTCCGACATCAGTCCCAGCAGAGAGCTGCAACCAGGCCCTCCATTCATCCATAGAATGACCGGGTCAGTCTGCGGGTTCCGTTCACTAGCGATAAACCTGAAACGTTACACGTGAGGAGGACTTCGAATGGATGTCATTTAAAACGGAGTCGTTGAAAGAAGAACGTTCGAATGCAAGAATGAGCATCACAGTGTGAAAGAGAAAAAAGAAAGGAATGTTGATACTATAGTAGGATGTATGAAAGGTAAGCTTTCTTTTGAAGCTAATTCCGTTAATAAAAACTGAAGTCACGTGGACGTTATGTAGGTGGCTGTTACTTAATCAAAATTTCACGTCAATAAAATTTGAAATATTATTCGAAATTAAAATACAAGTGATAAATTGCATGTGTTGATTACAAATACAGAAGGAGGTCTCAAAGTCGAAAGACTGTGACTGAGACCTCCTGAAAAATCGTTCATCAGAGTTACAACGCAATAGTAAACAGTGATAGGGATACAAAAATAGGAATGTATAAATGTACAGATAAGTACATAATAGCGAATATAAGATATACGAAATGTGTAGATTAGTACAATGAAACTAACAAGAAATGCAATAACAATCACTCAGTATAATATCAAGCATTATCACGGTGGGGAAAATAAACTGAGATATATAAAATACAGATAAGCACCATGGATACAAAAAAAATGCAGATGAGCACAAAAGAACAAAAAATACAATACCATACTCTGTATAATAGTCATAACTAAGAATTGAGTAAGTGTCCCCGCAAGACTTCTTTAAACATTACAAGGAATCTACTTAAACGAATACTTTACGGTAATTCTGCCATAATTGGCCCTGGGTGTGGGTAAAAGGAAGTTATTATATAGCCTTTGCAAAACGAGTAGGTGGCACCTGGGTAAACTGATTTTAGTGTAGTAAAGGAATAGGAAGTTATCCATTGACCTAATTATAGAGAAGAATGGCGAGAAAATATTTGCTTAGCTTCTGAACTGATGAAATTTCATGTAAACAGAGTAAGGATGATGTATTTGACGTGAAGCTACTGAACGTTACTATTCTCAATGCTTGGTTTTAAAGATGTTGGATGCGGGATAAATTAGTGGCATACGTATTTCCTCACGAATAAATACAATAGAATATGTTGCTGTGAATAAAAAGCCTAGTAAAGTGACTGCAATATCACGAAAGGAAAACAGCCATGGTGGTCTAGTGGCTAAGGTACTCGGCTGCTGACCCGCAGGTCGCGGGTTCGAATCCCGGCTGCGGCGGCTGCATTTCCGATGGAGGCGGAAATGTTGTAGGCCCGTGTGCTCAGATTTAGGTGCACGTTAAAGAACCCCAGGTGGTCGAAATTTCCGGAGCCCTCCACTACGGCGTCTCTCATAATCATATGGTGGTTTTGGGACGTTAAACCCCACATATCAATCAACAGGGGCCTTATATTCAATTAGAAGAACAGAACGAACAACTGCAATTAAAGCCGGACAAATATAGTCTAGCAGCTTGAGGACACAAGTGGTGGGGTACTTTTTTTTTTTGCAGTTTCTCTCACCAGTAGTGCAGACGTCGCATTCCTCCCGCTTGAAGAAACCCCGAGTACTGTTTGAAAGACGTTGTTTGATTGGTCGAACCCGGCAGGTGCGTCACTTCGTCCTCGGGTGGTCCTTGGGCGATCGCCACTGGTACAGCCAGGACAACTGCGAGGACAACTACGGTCCCGATGAGCGACCGCATCCTCGTGGCTTCGTCGTCACCATTGAGCAAAGAAAAAAATGAAAAATATATAATAAGACAGCCTGTGTGACAATCACGCACAACCTTAACTTTTAGCATTTTAATCAGGGTCTAATAATCATTGTCCATACTCTCAGTTCATGCATTTACAACTCGTATCGTATCGGCGTATAGTTTTAACCCCATCACTCACATCTGAGGCAAGATTACCTTGAGCGGCCATGTTTGCACCACCATTGCGTGGTTGTCACGAGCAGTCATTATCAAAACAAAGACAAAAACAAAAATTGGCCCGAATCTATATGTTACACGTGTGGGAGGTGTGTGGAGACGCTGATATCGATCAAATGTTAATTACTCACGCCCTCTATTTACGGGGATCCCTGCACACGCACGTGCACGAGATTGAAAGCAGTGCTCGAGCAGAATATATTGCGAGTACCAAAGTTTTGAAAGTAAAAAAAAAAAGCTTGATCCAGGCCATACCAACCTGCTCGTTTGAAGACAAGTTCCTTTAACCTTAACAGTGTGTGCGAAATGGAAAGTTTGTATGAAACTTGCAAAAGGTCACCGCTATCGAGAGGTAAGCTACAAAAGAGGTTGAAAAGAAAAGAAGGTCACCATGTTTCGTTTGTATTTTCTTATCACCTAGACTTCGTTCGAGGAAAGCTTATGCAAAATTTACGTTTCTCTTGGTCCTAACGTTGGCTCGGGTGAGAATAAGCTTGTCAATATTGCCGCTGTAATGGCGTTATCTGGTCGATTTAGCAGTGATTGCGTGATACCGAATTGACAAAAAAAATGACCACATTGCAGGGATTACTTCTGATGACGTGTCATCTCGTCAGTACCTTTCGGCGCCGAACGCCATTAAAAAAAATGAAACGTTTCATGACCCGCTAAACTTGCAAGAACGACTATGATTCCACAAAAGTTTTGTGACACGTTCACATTGAAATCTTCGTTACTCTTTAATACGACAGAAAAAGCAACATCCGCATTGAAAATATATGCCATTTCTTATAGACAACGTTCTACAATTTTACCTTCAAACACTAATGCTTTTCACAAGAAAAAAATATCAAAGTATTGAGTTGTCGTGCAAGAAAACCAGGGCAAGGCAAGAAGCAAATGTTCTTTAAAGCAAACTTGCGATAACAAAATAAAAAAAATAATTTGTAATGCACCTATACCAAATAAATATTCTTATTCATAAAAATTACAAGCAATAAAGCATGTAAAAGCGACAGGAAACGGTTGTGTGAAACCAGGGCATGAAAGCTTGTAAATAAGAGGACTACCTGCTCAGGTAAGTATCTCAGCCGATATGCGCAGCCCCGACGTGCAACCGTAGCCAAATGAACGAGGTGCGACGCAGCCGGCAAACAGGACACTCGAAGATACTAGTACAAGGCTGCACGAATCGCGACGCTCTTATTGATAAGCGTCTGTAGTGGTGCGGTGATAGCTGGCGTCTTGAGCGCAACAAGAGGGAACACAACGATCGATTTACTGGAAAGGAGGACAGCTTAGACGGAAAGCTAGTGTGTCTGAGAAACCCTATCGCGTGCATCAGCAAGCAACTCTATACTCGTTGAACTTCAACCGGAGTATAGTGCAATGCCGCATGAAAGTGCCAGCGTTAGTGCTGGCCTGTCTGTTCTGTTCCCTCGTTACGCAGTGGAAAGGTTCAGGTCCATATTACCTCGGCAACTCCAAACCGATAAGCTCCACAGCGAACAGAAATAAAATAACGAAAGTTACTCGAAATCAACAATTAGCGAAATAAAAACGAAATAGCACACTGGCACAAGTTGAAATAACATGGCAATCTGCTGTCTGACTGGGCAACCGCACTCTTACGATCGCTGAGCTTGCCTAGGACTCCCTCCGCCGCAGTATTCACTGAGTCCGTACTTTTTTTCCTTTGTGCTTGCACAGCCACTCTCCGAAACCCTTTAAAATATCTAATTGCACATGCGCAAGAAATGGGTGGCTGTACGTTCTCGTAACGGAACTGAGCTGTCAGATAATTGCTATCGTAAGCGGGCGCTCTTGATTTCGCTCCCTCTCTCTTATTTCAGCCGATGCTGCACGTAAGACGACCAGGAAATATGAGCGTATCAGCGTTTACCGCGGCGTCAAATGTCTTGCTCAGCGCGCTATCTGCCAGTGAGTCATTTCTCGGCAGTGCGAAGTCAAGAACAGGTAAAAAATAAAATTCAGAAAGAAAAAAATTAAGTTATCTAGTTGTAAACTTGCATACGGCTACGTTAGTTGCAAATCCTGGGCATAGCGTGTATCGCAAGCAAGAAAGACGAGTAAAAAAAAAACTGCGAAGAGATTTCATGAAGGCTTTCATTCCCTTTCTGTCGTAGTTTTCGGTATATGGCGGAGAAGAGAGCTTGGCATGACCTTGGCAAGTAGGAGAGCTTGGCATGCAGATGACGACAAAGCTTCTATATTCTCCTCAAACCTCGTGTACGTTAAAATACACGTTTGTTTTTATAGTTTTAAAAATTCTCGCTACTATTAGAGCCATCATTTTTGGTGCCCTAGCATTCTCGATCATGTGGAGTCATCTGGCCCGCAATGAAAAAAGCATTCTGCAGTGAATGCCATATTCTCCCGCTTTTAAAGATGGCGGAATTGTTGACTTTGACGTTCTAGTGAAGGCGTTCCAGTAAGTCCTAAATCAGGCAAAAATAGTCCAGCTATATTTCAATTGTAAAACGTGTAAAAAATGTTCAATTTATTTCGCTTTACTGCGGAATCAGTCACCTTAACTTTCGCCTCTTCAGAAAACATGAAAAAACTAATTTGTATAAGACTATGTCTACTTAGGGCAGCTAATAGCCACGGGGCCGAACCATGATATTGAACTAACTAGAAGAATAAGAATGGGGTAGAGCATATTTGGCGAGCACTCTCAAATCATGGCAGGTAGATTACCCCTATCTCTCAAGAGGAAGGTCTATAACAGCTGCATCTTGCCGGTACTTAGCTACGGAGCAGAAACCTCGAGACTTACAAAGAGAGTTCAGCTTAAATTGAGGACGACGCAGCGAGCAATGGAAAGAAAAATTATAGGTGTAACCTTAAGAGACAAGAAGAGAGCAGAGTGGATTAGGGGACAAATGGGGGTTAAGGATATCATAGTTGAAATAAAGAAGAGGAAATGGACATGGGCCGGGCATGTAGCGCGTAGAAAGAATAACCGCTGGTCAGTAAGAGTAACTAACTGGATTCCCAGAGAAGGGAAGCGGGTTAGGGGGAGACAGAAGGTTAGGTGGGCAGACGAGGTTAAGAAGTTTGCGGGTGTAAATTGGCAGAAGCAAGCACAGGACTGAGTTAACTGCCGGAATATGGGAGAGGCCTTTGTCCTGCAGTGGACATAGTCAGGCTGATGATGATGATATTTTAATTGCTGTTTCGGGCAATTTCGACCAGCGAACCTAGGGGTGGTTAGAGGAAAAATGAGACGCCTATTCTTGCTCTAACCATCGCCAGGTACGCTGGTCACTTGGGTAATGCGGCCATTTTACTAATCTTTTCTTTTTAAATTTTGTTCATGTTTTCTGAAGAGGCGAAAGTCAAGGTGCCTGATTTCGCAGTAAGACTGAGCTCTATCAGCAAAAATAATATTAACTATTTCTTACTAGTTTTGTATTAAAAAAAAGTTCCAGCGGACCTGTAAGAAGGCACCATTGCATTCCGCTTGCATGCGAAGTGGGAAAGGAGGGCTTGCGCAGCTACCCTCCTACTCTAAATTTTTAATTGATTGATTGATATGTGGGGTTTAACGCCCCAAAACCACTATATGATTATGAGAGACGCCGTAGTGGAGGGCTCCGGAAATTTAGACCACCTGGGGTTCTTTAACGTGCACCCAAATCTGAGCACACGGGCCTACAACATTTCCGCCTCCATCGGAAATGCAGCCGCCGCAGCCGGGATTCGAACCCGCGCCCTGCGGGTCAGTAGCCGAGTATCTTAGCCACTAGACCACCGCGGCGGGGCTACTCTAAAATTTTAACCTTTCCCTCAATCTCGAGACGTCACCAGCAACGTCATGAAGAAAGTTTTATGTTCGTGATTTATTTCTAGTAAGATGTCCGGCAACCGCCAGTGGTAAACGCGGCGCCGCCGCAGCCGAGAGCGAATACATGGCAGGTATGGGGAGTTTCCGCCCTCTTGGTTTAGGCGCTTCTGGCCGTTTTCCGAGCCCGAAAATCACGCGCCGGCTGAGCCTTGTCCTGTGCGATTCCGTTTTATATGCGAAGCATCTCTTACTCGGGCCTATGTTTCGTGGCGTCAGCAGCGTCCGCACTCACCACGCATGCGCACCTCTCCTCCTTACCACTCTCGAACAGCTACGAGTAACTTTCTTCACTTCTCTCCTTCCACCTAGGTGGAAAGGTGGGCATGTTGGTATTCCGCGTTCAAGAAGGGTAAGAGCGCACTGAATACGAATACACAAAGGAAGGACACAGATACGCTATGTGTGTGTATGTGTGTGTCCTTTCTTTGTGTATTCGTATTGAGTGCACTCTTACCCTTCTTTCACCTGCTCACACTCGCTCTTCCCCTCTTTCCTATAAGCATCCCTCAAAGTGGCGTTAACACCCCATTGCCCATGCACGTCCCCTCCCCTCTATATTCTCTCCAATGCCCCTCGCCTCGCAACGCTGATGCAGGGAGTGTCTGCTAACCTACTCTCGCTCCCCCTCACCCTCTCCTCTATGCATTCTTCCCCATGGCGTTTACACCACCATTGCGCATGCGCGTCCCCTCAGCCTCTCTCCTCCTCCTCCTCCTTCTCCTCCTCCTCCTCCTCATCATCATCATGATCATCATCAGCCTGACTACGTCCACTGCAGGACAAAGGCCTCTCCCATATTCCGGCAGTTAACTCAGTCCTGTGCTTGCTTCTGCCAATTTACACCCGCAAACTTCTTAACCTCGTCTGCCCACCTAACCTTCTGTCTCCCCCTAACCCGCTTCCCTTCTCTGGGAATCCAGTTAGTTACTCTTAATGACCAGCGGTTATCCTGTCTACGCGCTACATGCCCAGCCCATGTCCATTTCCTCTTTTTGATTTCAGCTATAATATCCTTAACCCCCGTTTGTTCCCTAATCCACTCTGCTCACTTCTTGTCTCATAAGGTTACTCCTGCCATTTTCCTTTCCATTGCTCGCTGCGTCGTCCTCAACTTAAGCTGAACCCTCGTTGTAAGTCTCCAGGTTTCTGCTCCGTAGCTAAGTACCGGCAAGATACCGCTGTTATATACCTTCCTCTTGAGGGATAGTGGCAATCTACCTGTCATAATTTGAGAGTGCTTGCCGAATGTGCTCCACCCCATTCTTATTCTTCTAGTTACTTCAATCTCGTGGTTTGGCTCCATGGTTATTACCTGCCCTAAGTAGACATAGTCTTTTACAACTTGAAGTGCACTATTACCTATCTCTAAGCGCTGCTCTTTTCCGAGGTCTTTGTACATTACTTTCGTTTTCTGCAGTTTAATTTTAAGACCCACCTTTCTGCTCTCCTTGTCCAACTCCGTAATTATGAGTTGCAATTCGTCCCCTGAGTTACTCAGCAATGCAATGTCAACGGCAAAGCGCAGGTTACTAAGGTACTCTCCATTAACTCTTATCCCTAACTGTTCCCATTCTAGGCTTCTGAAAACCTCCTGTAAGCACGCGGTAAATAGCATTGGAGAGATTGTGTCCCCCTGCCTTACACCCTTCGTGAATGGTATTCTGTTGCTTTCTTTATGAAGCACTACGTAGCAGTTGATGCCCTGTAGATTTCTTCCAGAATGTTTATATATACTTCATCTACGCCCTGATTCCGCAGTGTCTGCATGACGACTGATATTTCTACTGAATCAAACGTCTTCTCGTAATCTATGAAGGCTATGTATGGCCTCCTATGCTTCCCATAACTCACCTCACAGTGCCGATGCAGGCAGCGTCTGCTAGCGAGTTTCTTGATTTAAAAAAAAAATGTCCACCACCTCCCCGAAGGGAATCGTGAAGAAATACAAATGCATTTCTTGCGCCGAGAATACACGGAGTAGTGTTTTCGATGGCGAAAATAATGACAAGACTAGGATCTTTACCGTAACCAATTATTTGCGCATTCATGGGGCAGTGAACGGTCGAGACTGAGGCGCGCGCTTCACTCCATTTATATATACACGTACGAGCAAGTGGATGGGAGAATGGGGAGCCCGAAGGCTTCACCCCGTTTCCGCGATGCGAGCGCCCTCACACGCAAGAGCGCTCTCCTTCTCTCCCCTCACTATCCGCTACTCCACCCGCATCCCCTCCACCGGTTGCTAAAAGTGAGCATGAGCGTGTGCGCCCACGGCTGTTGCTATGGGAAAGGGAATGAGAGTGAAGAGATAACACCTGCCGGCGCGCGGACACCGCCAGACGCCCGACAAGCCCCGACTAAGAAATGCATTCGTATCTAAAACA